AATCTGGTTTTCTTTAAACATTTTAAAATAAATTTACATAGCTGTAGCAATATGATAAAACTGCTTGATTCAAAATTAATGGTTTCACATCAAGTATAAACGATCTGAATTAAATTAAAATTTCGGAATCTTAGTTGCGAATATTTGTTGAAATAATAATTTGGTTAAATTTTTCAAGGCGAGTTATTTACCCATTTAAATTGTTTGAATTGAACTTCAATTTATATGGTTGTATGTACAATCACGGTGAATTTGAATATGTTAATTTTAGGCTAAATTTGACTCTTTTTGTTTTTAGTAAAAAGATTTGTTTTTAGTAAAAAAAATCTAAAGTTATGATGTTCTGCTTTCTTCGGGAAATCTTTTCATTCACAACAAATAATTTTGAGATAAAAAAAAGTAATTTTCTGTAGGTGGCAAAATATTGCAGGTATTGACATCCAAAAAAATCATAAAATATTGATTTATTAATAAAATTTAATTTAACGGAAGGCACGCTTTAACATTGAAAAGTGATTTAATTTGCATAATTTAAAAACAATAAAAAGTACAAGTTGACACATTTTAATTTAATACGGCTATAATAAACAGGGTGAGTATTAAAATATTATATGTGAACTTAAAATAAAAATGTTCACTTTACTGAAAGCTTTCTTCTAAATTATTCAGAATAAAAAAAAAATTATTTATGGGTTTAAAATACTACAAAATTTTTTTCTGTAATTAATTAGCATTAATTTTTGTTGAATTTTAAATTAATTTGTGGATGAGAGAGGGCACAATACACGCATTATGAACGTAATTTTTTATTTATTTTTAATTTTCAAATTCGCATATATGTATGTGTTTGTATAACGATATGAATGGGTAAAATTTTGTAAATATTAAATTTTTCAGTTTCTTAATTATCTATAAGGTAATTTTTCAATTGAATATACTGAATTGGTTAAAAATATTTTATAATACACGTATATTTCTATATGTACGAAATAATTAAAACCGTTAATTGATTAGTAGCGCCGTTGAAATGTTAATTTAATTAAAAAGGAAAATGTTTTTAATTGGACGTATCGTGCGAATGACGTAAATGATATCATTGACTAATTTTTCTTTCAAAATTATCGTCATAATTTAATTGAAATAATTGATCTGATTCTTTCTTATTTTAAAGATGTGCAAGTCAAGAGAGAACATAAGTTGTAATCGTTATGACGTACGTAGAGAATCATCAAAAATGAGGATTTTTTTTTTTTAGAAAATGGTAAATTATCTATTGTCTGTTCTACATACATAGTTGTTTAAATGAATTTTCGTACATAAATTAGTAATATTCAATATAGCCCCGGTATTCATATTTGTAGCGTTGGAAGTAGAAGTGAACTTTATTTAAAAGTTTTTCTGTGTTTAAAGGTACAAATAATTTTACCGTATAATTAATCTTGTAAATTAGGTACTCGTATCTCTATTGATCCTTACTTCCTCTCTATTATTGCACACTTCTGCGTGTCGTGAGTCTATTTCTTTACTAAATTTAAGCCTTATGGAAAGGGTTAATTTATATAACATTTAGAAAAAGACATATTTTACGACACCTTTGTCTTACTTATTGTCTTACTTATTTCACAATATAGATGTCAACAAGTATATTTGTATTTATACAATGAAACCGAAAACAGCAATGATATTATAATTGCATTTATAACACTATAATTGCATTTATAAAATTCCCAATTACACTCTTTTAATTTAATCAGTTGGATTAATAATCGTCTTAATATTGTAAACGTTAATTTGATTTTTTTTTTTAAAATTCTTAATTGATTAAATTTATCTGATATGATTACAATTTATCTAGTAAAAAAAGATAGTTTCAGGTGAAGGTTTTTATACGATAACAAAGAAAATAAATAAAATAAATTTTTATTTTTGATTGGTAAATATAAAATGGGGGTTATTTTTAATTAATAATTACCTACATATATATATTTGTCAACTTGTGTAATACCTGAAATACTTATATAGAATTTGCGTATTTTGAGGTGCTATAAAAATATTTAAGAATACACATATACGAGTATAACTATTATAATTAGTTTACTAGAAATCGATAATACACATAAATAATATTTGTACATAAATATTGTTTTAACGCTTAATGTAATTGCTGGGTTCCTAATAAATTGATAAGTTAAACCGGCATTTCTTATCAATTTAGTATAAATTTTTTATTATATATTTTTTGATGTATGGAATATTTTAAATGGTAGCAAATCTATTAATAATAATATTTCATTTCATTTAAACAAAAATAATTGTGATTTTAAGTATACACACTTTTACATGCGTACAGTGATACAAGATTCATATTCCATATTAAATGTTTTAAGACAAAAATTAGGTTGAGTATTTTAATTAAAATTTATGTAGGGGGACATTATAAGAAAATTTTAATAAATGCTTAAAATGTTACATAAAACTTTTGTGTTCTATAATAAGATCAGTTGGTATTTAAGTGTGTTATAATATAAGACTTTTAGACTTAAGACAGTTAATAATATCGGGATGTTGTTGGAATAGAAAATTGGAGGGAACATAAATTATGCAATTCATAAACAATTAAAAATTTTTATATTAGAAATGAATATTGCATTTTTCGATATACAAAAATAACTTAATTAATTATTTTAAATTATACAATTTTTTCTCTCACATTTTAATATGCACTACAAATACCGCATCATTGTATCACATACATAATACTATATTATACAAATACACATACATATGTGTAATTAAATGTTGTCACATAGCTTTATCTAAATAATTTGTGATATTAAAATAACGTAAAGTTTTAAGAAAGTAAACATACAAATGAGAGGTAAGTATAAAATAACAATAATAAAAATAAAAAAAATTAATTTTGTTCATTTACATTCCGCTTAAATGCGCTAAGTGTATGAAAGTTTTCATTTCGTTTAAAAATAAAAAATTTCTAAAATAAAAAAAAATTTTTTATCAAATTTATGATTTTAAAAGCGTTTTGTTTTCATAATTATTTTAGTTTTTTTTTCATATACATATATATATATATATATATATATATATATATATATATGTACATATATGTATATTATTTCAGGTAAGATAAGATAGTTTTTATTGTTTAAATTTATGGCAATGATCTTGACTGCAACAATCGGTTATTATTTTGTTAATAATTAATCAAAATAGAGTAATATAGGAGTTTTGCTTTGATGCTAGCGAAAATATGAAGTATTTTTATTAATTTCAAGTTCAGAATATTTTTTGTATTATTTTTTAATTCTTATTTACTATTTTTTTTTTTTGGTACACATACAAAATAATTAATTGTCTAAAAATAGTTGCTTTATGAGATAACGATATCATTATACCCTGCACTTCATGAAGGGTATATTAACTTTGGTATGGAGTTTGTAACTACTTGAAGGAGTCACCTGCGGTATGGACATATATATATATTCTTGCTCAGCGTAAAATTCTGCGTTGATTTAGACATGTCCGTCCGTCCGTCCGTCCGTCCGTCCGATCGCACGATAACTCAAAAACGAATAATGCAATCGACACCAAACTTTCACAAGTTGCTTCTTTTGTGCCAAGGACGAACCCTATTGTTATTGGACTAATTCGGACAACGGGTTCGGGTAGCTGCCATACAACTCAAAGAGTTTATTTTAAATATTTCAAAAACTAATAAAGCTATAAATTTAAAATTTTGTATACATGTGTCCAATTATATTCTACACATGCCCTAAAAATTATAATGGGATAGCTGCACCGGTTCGGGTGGCTGCCATACAACCCCAACAGCAAATTTTTTATATTCGGAAAAATAATAAAGTCAGATTCATGAAACTTGGCAGTTGTGTGTCCAATTATAGGTCACAGATATTTCTGAAGTTTTGGTGGAATTGCTTGACAGGTTCGAGTGGCTCCCATACAAGTCCAAAAGCTTATTTTAAATATTTGGAAAAGTAATAAAGTTAGATTCATGAAACTTGGCAGTTGTGTGTCCAATTATATGTCAGACATATCCGTGAAGTTTCTATAGAATGGTTTCACAGGTTTGAGTAATTGCTATACAACAATGAAAGGTGCAGGGTATAATTCAATCGGTTCATACCGACTGAAACGTTTTTACTTGTTTTATTATCAATCATTCATAAAAATCTGGCAATTTTTTAATTGATAAATTCGGTATTCTTTCATACAATATTAATTTCGGTTATGGCTCTTGTTAATATTTTAGGGCACATACAAAAGAAAAGGAATGTAATTTTTAATATCTAAATTATTCAATTGAATTGATTGATTTGAATTTTGATAACATTTACGATTTTGCTATCGTAATTCTATTTGAAGTACCAGATTTGAGGTACTATACAAAAGATTACATTGTATATAAATAGTAGTCTATATATCAAGAATACGTATATTTTTATTGCATACTTGCTACTTTATAATACACAAACTTAAGTACATTCATTATAGATAGGCTTTAATTAATTAAAAAGAAAAATTTTGTGCTTTTTTAATAGTTCTTAACTATTCCAAAAAAAAAAAATTTTTACTTGGAATTTTTTTGAAATTTATTAACATAATGATTATTATTTTCAAAAATATGACTAAGTTGCGTAGACATTAAGTAGAACTACATATAAAATATTATGAATATAAACAAGGTTTTACGATTGAAAAAAAAAATTTTAAAGCAATAAACACTTTTTATTAGTTTAACTGAAACTGTGGTTTATAGACTGAAATTTTTTATGTCAACATTTTCTTTATAATAAAATTAAAATATGAAAATTTCGAACACAATACAATTATTATCAGCCTTGCATGATTTAAAAGAAAATATTTTATAAAATATTTTGCCGGTTAATGATTCTTACTAATTCAAATTCAATAAATTAATTATAATTATTATAAAATCATATTTAAAATATTTTAATACTTACTTGCAAATTGTAATCCAAACATAACAACAAAACCAACTACAAATGATGCATATGGTATTAAACCACTACGTTCTTTTGATAATATTTCAAAAAATACAACATATAATAAAGTACCAGTTGCTAATCCTTGTAATATTGCTGATGGAATTGCTGATGCAGTACCATTATCATATGAACTTACAAGTATACCAATACCAATACCAAGTGGACTAACAATTGCAAATGTGATAACATATGTTATTGATAACCATAATTTTGTTCTTGTTACAATTAATTCAACACCAACACAAAATGCTAATACTAATTTATGAGCTGATACAGCACCAAACATATACCAAACATTATCTGTTTTACTTTCTAGACCGACAGCTAAACCTTCAAATAATTCATGTACAGATAATGCTAAAACAACTAATAAACCACGTAAAGATGCTACAATATGATCTTCATTTAAAGCTCCAATTGGTAGATGACTGTGACCATGACTATGACCATGACCATTGTGGTCATCATGTTTATGAATATTATCATTATTATTATTGTGAATTTTTTGATGATCACGATGATGTTGATTATTGTGTTGTTGATTTTCATGTACTTGACTATAAAAACTACTATTATTACGACTAAGTGGTTTCTTTTTATAAATGTGGTCATGCTGATGGTGACCATTTATATTTTGTTCATGTTCATAACTATGATTAATTATTCCAGGATTTTGTTGTTGTTCCTGTGAGGAATTATTTGTCTGATTTGTGATTTCCTTTTCTTTGCTTAAACTGTTTTCAACTAAATTATCGATTATCATATTTGATACGGTTTGATTTCTTTCAACATCATCTGATGCATAATTTTTTTTCATACCATTTGAATTTTTTTGATCACCAATCGATTCCTTATTTGCCAATGATGTTGTTGTTGCTGCTGATGATGATGATGAAGTTGATTTTCTTTTAACTAATATACTATCTGTTATACTAATACCACGTACAAATGCTCCAGTAGCATTTTGTGCATCTTTATTATGTCGATGTATGTATGTATGTATTAGTTCTTCAACTAAAAACATTGCAAAAAAACCTAAACACATTAATAGTTCAGCAAAATTAAAATTAAAATCAGGTAAAACATGTTTCGATTGTAATGTTTGAATATTTTCTTTAACTTCTGGTAATAAATGTAAAAATGTTGTACATAACAGAACACCACCACCAAAATATAAAAGACATTTCACAACAGTTGCTGATCTAGCATTTGTATTCTTTTCGGTCCATTTAAAACGGCGATTCAATAAAAAAGGTATGCAACCGCATAATGTAGAAGCACAAAATAATACTACCATTGCTGTTGCTTTTGCAATTATTATATCATTTTGATCATTTTCATGATCGTGGTCGTGATCGTGGTCATGATCGTGATCATGATCATCAACATGATCTGTTGATCCATTTAATGATTTCGCAAAAATATTTCCAGCATTATTACTGGGATGATGATGGTGATCATTTGAAGAAGAGCTTGCATTTGTTAAATTTGTAGCAAGCTCTTTTATTATTAAATTTAAAACATCAGTCGAATTCATTGTCCTCTTTTAGTTTTTTTCTTTTTTATTTTACGTATTAATAATTCACAATAAAAAATTAAAAATTATGCAAACAAATATCACAACAATTTTCCTGTTCTTATTAAGTAAAATATTTTTTTTTGTTTTGCCAATCGAATCTATTTTTCGTTATAAATTTTTATACAAACTCGTCATTTAATATTTGTTATATTTCACTTATATATAACTAATAAAATTTTTCATTTTTTAATATTTTTTTATAGCAAATTAAACATTTAAAGTTAGTAGATCCTATGTTATTTTAAAAGTCCTTTTTATGACAAATAACAATGTCATAAAATTGACTTTATAAATGATTTTTCCACAGTCAAATCAAATTGTAAACTGAAAATTGTTATAGTAAACTGGTAACTAATATACCAAAGTTGATCGTAGTATTTATTACTAAAAAAAAATATTTTGTGTATCAACACACTTATTAATTCTGTTTATGTACAAAATACAGGTAGATAAATGTTGTTTACCTATATGTTATATGATATTTATATGGTACATACCTGGTACACTCAAAATGAGAGAAGAGAGGAAAATTTCAAAATTAAAAAAGATCGAATTAACTGATATTCTGAAATGGGAGCCAATAATACTACAACTACTACTGCAAAAAAAAAAAAAATAAAAATATAATTTTAAAATTTTACTCTCTCTCTTTCGTTTTGTTTTCTTTTTCTAGTATATTTTTGTTATTACAATTCCCGATCCAAACAAAAGATCATGAAAATTCGTGAACATTAAGAGAAGATATAATTATTGCATCAATTCTTAAAGACTGTGCCCTATGATGTTCCATAAAATTTAGTTTCGAAGTCATGTAAATTTTAATGTGGCCATATTCATGTAAATTTGGTATATATGAGTGTATTTTTCATCATTTTAACAGGCTTGAGTGTTATAATATTATAACTTGTGGGGAAGATCACTAAATTGCCATACAGTAAAAGAATTGGGAATTGAAATGATTTACCGTAATGAACTGCTACAAATAGATTTTTTGCAATTCGTAACTAAATAGTTTATTTAGGAAACTCAAGTAAAAGAGCAAATGCGGTAACATTTATGTTGTACGAAAAACAAACGTGCGTTATTAAGTCAAACCTTATAAGAGATTTGGTTTATTTAGTAATTCAATTGATAGTTCAACAATAACTTACATACTTAAAGAAGATAAGTACATACTGGGAATTTTCAAGTCTAAACTTTTTATTTTGAGCTTCATTATCACAGTTTCTTCAGAGTTTGTTGTAAAATTTCGTTAGTTTCACATAATTCACGTTTCAATTTTAAATTGAAGAAACTCTCTTACACATTTCATCAAGGTTAATCAAATTCTATAAATTTTCTCTTTAATTCTCCAGTCGTAACTTTTTTTCTCTTTTGAGATTTCAGGTGTAAATAATAATGAGAGTACAAAAAATGTGACGGTTAGTTTAAGGAGAATTTAAAACTATTCATTTCACGATAAAAATACTTAATAAAATTTATTTTTCTCATTTTGTTTGGAGTGCTTTAGTTGCATGAAAAATTATTGTAAACAAAATTATCTTTGTATGTGTTATATAGCGCGTTTTAAAGTTAATAAACATTAAGTATTAACTATAATTGAATTTGTTTGATTAAGAAAGTTCAATAAAATTATCGATTATAGTTCCTACTTTATATTTTGCAGCTGTCGATAATATTTTTAAGCTTTAGTTTTGTTGGATTTAATGAAACAAATAAAACCATATTATGCCAATATGTATATTGATTTTATGAAATATAATTTAATTTTCTGGCATAATTTTTATTATCTTTATGGTTTTATGGGAATTGTTTTATGGCGACTATAATTGCTTGATCGGATATTGTACCGCAGGTGTTAAGTAATTAATGTGTTCTGAAATTGTATACTTTGTAACTGTAGTTGACATACAAAATATTGTTCAATTCGCTTAAAATTTACAAGTGAAGTCAACTGGCGTCACTAACGAACGATCTGCTTATGGTATAAGAATTGGTATGATATAAGAACTGTAAGAAACCAGATTCAAGGGCTAGTTTTACATTTAGCGTCAGTTTAACATAGCTTAGATTTTCATCTACGTGTTTTACAGTTTTCATTTCTTATTGTGGTACGTTTGTTTTTTGTTGATAATCTTTTGGAAAACCTTATAAATGCACAATTTGTGAAATTTGTCTAATTTGCAAATTAATTTTGGATGGAACGCTGATTTTGGTTTAAAATTTGAGTATAAATTGAACTAAAAAGGAAAATAATTTTAATTTTTAATTAAATTTTTATATATTATATCAAGGAGAATCTCGTACTTAATTAGGGAATGTTTAGTTATTAGAAAATTTCCAACTATAAGCACCATTTTTTTTATAATTTACAAAGTACAAATTTCGGCACTAGTTGGGACTTTCATAGATGTTTGGGAATGATTAAAATTGTGTTACCATATTATATAAGACCGTATATCTCGTAAGCGGTAAATAGAATAGAACTTTCAGGCAATAATTTACTATATTTTCTCAAAATTTGTTTATGGATATTTATTGACCTATATTGTTTCGCAAAATTCTCAAACGATCCCGAACAAAACTGAAATCTCATTAAAAATATCTCTTTATTATTATCTCTTTATTATTTTATTCGTTGTGCTTTTTTTATGATTTCAGGTGTTCTCTACATTCTACTCTACTTGATTTTATACATAATACAATTCACGTTAAAAAAGAAAAAAAAACCGTGATAATTTATAACTAGTAAGCGGTAGGCGAATTTCATAGTGTTCTCATTAACTCTCTTATCGTGAATATTTTCTCGTATTTTATAAAGAATAACAAATATTTAAAATAAAAATGTAAATAATACTATCTCAATATTTTTATACGAAACAAAAAAAATTAAGTACTAACTATAATTGCAATCTGTTTAACTGAAAACGTTCACTTAATTCATTTGATATTGTTGCTACCTTAGTTTTTAATTTGGAATATTGCTTTGTGTTCTTTTAGAAGTAATTCTTACTTTGTTATAATTTTTTTTATTAGATTGTAATAAAGAAATTGAAAGTATAAGTTTTGTTTAATATCTTTAATTCCATGATCAATAAAAAACTTCAACTAAAATAAATAATACTTAATTTATAATATTAATTAATTAACTATAATGATTCTATGCCTATTTAATTATTTCATGATTTCGTTTATTGAATTATTTGATAAGATACTATTGAAGGTTTTCCCAAAAAGAGGTAGCTGTTATTTACTTTTGTTAGTAAAACTTTTCACCGAAATTTATATTTTCTAGTTAAATTAAGAGAAATCGGCTTTGCTATTCATAATTTGAAAATTTTGATTTGGTCGTATTTATCAGATAGGGCCCAATATCTTTCCGCTTGCCTTTATTCGAGGTCTTTCTTGCGGCTTTTAGGATTCTATAGGATAGCGGTTTTCTTTCATTATATTGGCAAAAAATTTATTAAAGTGTACATGATAAGTGTTTAATTTTGTTTTAAGGACAAGTGTACACTTATTAAAGTGTTTAATTATGCATGATAATCGATGCTTGGCCTAAGCAATTCGTTTTATATACAAATTTTTGACTCGAAACTTCTTTAACTCGAACAAAATCCACTCAATTTGAATTTTTCTCTTAATTATTTCAAACTATAATTTACTGATATTAAAAGCGGTTCGTATTAGCGAGATTTTATTGTAATTAAAATTTGTTTTAAGAAGGTGACCATTTAAAAAGTGAATCAAATATTAAATTTTACGATATATATTAATCTAATATTAAGGCCAGTAGCATCAGAAAGCTATGCAATATGTAAATTTTGAGTTTTGTGTAAAAAAGAAGTTTAAGTTTCAAAACCACAAACAGGGAATTAATCAGTTATCGAATTTCAAAATAAAGAAAATTTTTGAAATTAATGTTATATATGAACATATGATAAATTTATTATACAAAAACTGAATAAGCAAGTCAGCAAGTTTTTTTTTCAAATTTCTGATACAGTAGATATTGTACTTTCTCTTTCATGATTGTTTACAACAGTAAACAAATTTATTACTTCCTACTTTGCTTTAAATTTTAAAAATTTCAACTGTTCACAATTAAATATGTAAGTGTATGTAGGTTTGTATCTATGTATATTTGTTTAACATTACAATTTCAATCTTACATTAATTTGCAAATTTGAAAGATTCCATCTTTTTCTATATATTTCTTTATATTTCTCTTTTTAATAAAAATTTTGTCTTTACAATAATTGTAAAAGTGTGAAAAATTGTTCGTTTTACAAAAGCATTTTGTGTCATACAATCTCATATACATATAAATATTTACAGATCTATCATAGTCTTAAAACTAATCAACCTAATCATCACATTGAAAATTTTTTCGAATTGAAGTTAAAAATTAAATTTTTCTTTTCTTGCAAAATGTCGTTGAACTCAATTTTTTAAAACTTCATTTAGTTGATTTTCTACTTACTTATATTATTATACATAGACGTACTTAATTTTGCAATGAAATTGTTATTGAATAAAATGAAATTCCAATATATGATTCATAAAAGTTACCCACTTCTTTTTAGATTAAATACAAGTATTTTGCCTGCTTGGGGGATTCACTTTGAAATTTATATGGAAAAGATTTTTTTATGTATTGTATAGGTAAACTCTAAGAATAATAATGTAAATAAATTTTTTTAAAACTATAGTTATTACATTTTAAATGTTGAGATCAAAATTTAAAAGTCAGCTGTTATATTTGGTCTGATATAAAGAATTTTTGTGTGCATGTCAGACCAAATATTTCATGGAAAAACTAAAGTTTTTGAAATTTCGAGTAATAGCTGTTTTAGGTTTTATATCAAATTATAAAATTGATATAAAACCTAAAACAGCTATTACTCGAATTATTTATATCAATTGTTTATGGCAGCTTCTATGAAAAACAGTGGAAAGGTTCGCTGTGAATGCAATAAAGTAGTTACGAGTTGTTAACAACAGCAAAATTTTGTATGAAATCCTTCTTAATCATTGTAACTAGTAAAGAAATTGTGTTTTACTTAATCGGGAAAGTTACGCACTATGTGATTTTGTTTTGTTAATGCATCTTATAAGTATAAAAAATATTTCTTACAATTAAAACAAGTTAATATTGAATATTGTGAATACACGTTTCCAATAATAACCAACTTTGAATAAATATAGATATATTTTTTTTTATGTTTGATACTAATGACGCAGAGCGATAGAGGTTTTTGGTATTTGTATGTGAATTTGGAGCAACACTGACGTAA